TGAGCATATGATAAGTGTTAGAAATGAGAGGATAAGGTACTATTGAGCATAACAATTCTAACCACTCTAATATTATTGAGCATATGATAAGTGTTAGAAAGGAGAGGATAAGGTACTATTAAGCATAATAATTTAACCACTCTAATATTATTCTTAACGTGACGAAACATTATTGAGCATATGATAAGTGTTAGAAAGGAGAGGATAAGGTACCATTGAGCATAACAATTCAACCACTCTAATATTATTGAGCATATGATAAGTGTTAGAAAGGAGAGGATAAGGTATTATTAAGCATAACAATTTAACCACTCTAATATTATTCTTAACGTGACGAAACGATAAATCCTACTTAATCATAGTTTTAACTTTGCAAAATCATCATAATAGCATATAAATAGTGTTAAAAATTCATGCTTCACAATTCTACTCATAATTCTAGAGTTAATCCTAGCCTTCCACAAGCCAGTTAAGAAAACACAATTAGGCAGAACTTTAACCGTTGGATGCTATTCCTAAAAACCATTTTCAACCGTCGATACACTTTTACTCCCCCACTATTTTTAGGGCAAATCATTTCAGCCTCCCCAATCGCCTCCATCTCTATACTCGTTCTCAACTCTGAACTTTCCCCCCCCCTCTCTCTCTCTCTCTCTCTCTCTCTCTCACTGCAACTGCAAACTACAAGATCTACAAGAATCAGAAGTTCAAAACCCATATCGGCATATCATTTCAGATTGTTCAAAAAATCAAAACCCATATCTTTCAGTTTCCATCGCCCGCTGTTCCAGTTCTGGTTCGCCGTTCGCAAGCTTCAGCTGTCTCTCAACTCTCAAGCTTGCCCCCTCTCTCTCTGCAACTGCTAACTTGTATGTATGGGTTTTGTTTTAATTTTTTTTCTAAATCAACTAATCAAGATCTGTATTTCTTGTTTTGCAAACTAAATCCTATTTGGTGAAATTTTGTACGATCTTTTTTAAATAAATTTTTTTTTTTACAAGCAACAAAATTTGCATTGCATTTTGAGGTAATCACCTAAATCTACATTTTATTTCAGCAAAACAAATATTTTTTTTCATTTCAATAACTTCTATTTCTGTTTTTTATTTTTTATTTTTTTTTTGTTGTCAATTATGTCTACAAGAAAATTTGAATCTGGGCATGAAAAAAGAAAAAAAAAAAAAAAATACTATATTTTTAGGACAAATCATTTCAGCCTCCCCAATCGCCTCCATCTCTATTCTCGTTCTCAACTCTGAACTTTCCCCCTCTCTCTCTCTCTCTGCAACTGCAAACTACAAAATTTACAAGAATCAGAAGTTCAAAACCCATATAATTCAGTTTATCTATCTGTCTGCAAGAATCAAAAGTTCAAAACCCATATCGGCATATCATTTCAGGTTGTTCAAAACCCATATCTTTCAGTTTCCATCGCCCGCTGTTCCAGTTCGGGTTCGCCCTTCGCAAGCTTCAGCCGCTGTCTCTCAACTCTCAAGCTTGCCCCCCTCCCTCTCTGCAACTGCTAACTTGTATGTATGGGTTTTGTTTTAATTTTTTTTTCTAAATCAACTAATCAAGGTCTGTTATTCTTGTTTTGCAAACTAAATCCTATTTGGTGAAATTTTTTATGATCTTTTAATATTTTACAATATGAAGTTACAAAATTTTTTATGATTAATTTTATATAATCTTTTTTATGATCTTTTTTATATAATCGATTTATGCATCTCCTCCATCTATATAATAATACACATGCTGTTATATACCTCTCGTCTCTGTGTTGCTTCATTTTCTCATTCCTCTCTGTTTTTGTTGTTTGTCTCTGTTGCAGATATCAGATATCAGTCCTCTCTCCAGTCTCTACCCTGCCCAAGGATCATGCCTCCTCAGTCATCTGGTAAGTAACATGACCACTTCTACTACTACTTCGTTTGGGTTTTTGGGTTTTTAGAGTAAGGGTTTTTTATCTGCGGATTTTATAAGCCCAAAAAATTAACAAAAGTTATTGAGTTCAAAGTATTACTTGTTGAGCTTCCGAAATGTATAAAACTTCAGTAACAAATTTAAGTTTTCTCATCTTTAATCCTGTTATTATAGGTATACTTGTTGGGAAGAAAGCTCAACGTGAAGTGAGTGGTATCGGAAAAATATTGGTATATTCCTTAACATATTGTTAGTGGAATTTTCTTTACTAGAGAATATTGCCATCGATGGCAAGTTGGGCTAATAACCCATGCTCCCACTCAAATGGAGCAAGACAATTTCATAATGTTTAAATTGGATGTGCACATTGAATGTGATTAAACATTGGATGTGTACATTGAATGTGATTTGGTGTACAATTTTGATACAAACCTTATTTAATTTATAGATTGCAAGTTTGGCTGCTAGTGTATGCCTACTACTACTCTATCGCTGCCCGGCTAATAAGGCACAAAGTAGTGATTTACAAATTATTTTCAAGGGTATTTTTAAAAAAAATTAAATTTGAGAGGGGACACAAAGTAATATTGTATAAATATTATACCTATATATATATAATAATTTCAATGGGCCAGTTTGGGTCCGGGGGCATGTGCCCCTCCCAGGCCCAAGCTGGCTCTGTCCCCGCCTTCAAATAATACTACTACACTGATTCACAATGTATTTTGGCAGGCTGGAATTCAAAAGGGATAGAGTGCTTGCCCACATCTTCATCAGTCTGGACTCGCACTCGTAACATTGGGGAATTGCATCTTTAAGACTTGTCTGAACATGACCAATGTTCTTTACTTCAAAGATTTTATTGCATTGATTTGACTTTTAAATATGACCTACATATATGTTGTGCATTGGAAAGATTTTATTACATTGTATACTAAGGTGTACAATATAAGAAAAATAAGTGGCGGTAAAAAAAACAATAAATGGACATATAGAATTTAACTGTTTTGAGTTACTTAAATAAATGAAATACAGTTGAACATTGTACTCTAGGATGCTTATTACCATATAGTATGGTACATGCTCTCGAGGCAGAGAATTATACACTAAATTAGACTGTAACAGTAGAACCTTCTATTTATTTCATGCAATAGATAAGCAAAAACCGAGAACCTTGCTAGATTACTCAGTAGAGAGCTCTTGATAGCCCTTCCGTTCTTCCAAGGGTTTCAATAGAATTGGAATTTCAGCAGCAGCAAAATCCACGCATATCATAGTTTTGTAATCTTCATCGCCCAAATTTGGGAGAGCCTTGGCCTTTTTGTCCCAAGGGTTCCATATAACTGTACATCCACCACATGAAATTCACGTATGAGCAAGAAAGATAAAAAAAAAATGACAACAATGGCGACGAAAGAGCTCTAAAACGAGTATAACAATGTAAACCCATCTACTTCGTGGTCTATTATTGCAATCTTTGGTGGTGTGCTCAAATACACTCTATCAATCTAAAGGCGAAAAAACAATAAAACTTAAAAAATGGTTGAGAAAGTTCAAATATTGAGAAAATCCTAATTCCAAATCACTGAAAACAAGAACCTTGAACTTATTATAGGGTAGTTAATATGCAATTCCAATGTTCTGAGTTCAATCCTAATTTGCCAATTGTGAAAACACACCTATATTACTAGGCCTAATGGTACTAGGCCTAATGGTACTAGGCCTTTATTTCTCAAAAGAAAATTAAGGGTTCAAGTCTTGGTGGAGGTATGTGTACGTGAGTACTAATTAAAAACAAACAAACCTATATTGAGAGCAAAAGCAGATAACATACTACATAGTACCGCATCATCAAAGGTAATTGCGTCTGCTTGCTTTGTATACCTGTCTCTATCCATCAAATTATTGAAATAGTCGAGTGTCTCCAAGCCCTCAACACGCACTTCACTGCAAATTAAAAAGCATCATGCAACCTCTCTGAAAAAGGATTACGGTAAAGTATCTTCCAAACTCTGTTACAATTTTACCGGGGGTGAAAAAAAAAAAAAAAAAAAGGACAACAATTTTCAGAAGACTCAAAATTGTTCAAAAATCATAAATAGTTTACAAAACCAACAAATAAAACCCTCCACCATCATCATTGCAGTTGGGATAAAAAAAAAAAAGAAAAAGAGTAAATACGTGGCAAACTTGAAATCCGATATAGATAAGTAATTACGCAGTGCAAACGTGAATGAGAAGGCTTTGTTATCCACATTTCTAACACGGGAGATCAATGTGAGCTTGCCAGCATTAAAAGAAATACGAAGCCACAACTTAAATTTGCAGAAAACACCGTATAATTTTTCTTATGTCTAATTAAGTAATGATATATTTGCATGCTATATATTCACGCACACACACGAGAATCTTCCTGTTCCCTTTTCTAAGTTAACTTACACACTAGATATTTAGAGCGTATAATCTAAAGATCTGTAAGTATGGTTTGGCATCATTTTAACAAGGATTCTACAATCCACAATACATATCTTAAAATGAATAATCACATGATACTATTTATTAGTATGTTAATTAATGTTAGAAAATCTAGCTTCATTACAATATTCATGAAAACCAATAGCCTTATGTGAGGGAAATAGTTAAATTTTTTTGATTGTGAAAATTGAACTAGAGCAAGAATAACAAAAATTATGTATTAGTTATTAATCACAATTTATGACATTATTTGCGCGCGGTGTCTGCCCTTAATTTGTACTCTCAGTCTCAGGTGACAGGGCTGCTAGCCTGCGCTTTTACTACTACATAAAGCAGTGGTCTCTTGTGTCTATAGTATACTAGAACATACATAACCATTATGAATTACAGTTTAATATTAATTTAAATAAATAGAGTATCAAACATAAATAGATAATTAACCAAACTAAATAGACAAAAAATCAAACGACTTATAAAAAATTGAAGTGATGAGAATAGACTTACGTTTAAAGTTGTTATTAATTGTTTATCTTTGCTTCGAGTTTGAAGAACATTCTAATGAGCTCTCTAGTACATGTCATGTATATCTAACATTTCAGAGTATGGCGAAAGAGAGGATGGATGGGACCTGGTGAATAGGTTGTCCGTAGGAAACCAACTATATTCTCATTGGTTGCCCTGTTTGTTCGTGTCCTCTTCAGTTCAAGAGTGGGTCTTGTCTTGGCACGTTAACGGATTAGTGCCATGTCAGCATAAAAGATCAGGTGTAGGGTTCCACTTGGTGGACCCTATTCTACAAAAGCTAGCCACATGATTTGCGCAAGAAACATATGGAGGATGATTTTCCACTGTCCAAACGTTTTGATTCAAATGAATTTGCCAACTGCAACTTTTTTTAGGGTCCCACAACTGGCGAGTGATTGCGGAAGGATTAGACATTTCCAAGCATCCTGTGACAATGATATTTTTCATTTTTAAAAAATGTAATGCAATATACGTTTGAATTATTGGTCTCTAATCTATGTAGCATGCAAATGCACGTGCACATGGGACATGGATGCGACATTACATGCTAAAATTTAAAAAAAATAGGATACGAGTACGATTTGGATATGATTATAAATATAAATTTTTATTTATATACATATTTATTGAGTAATAATATTATAAAACTTAATTTATTTCTATTTTTAATACTAAGAGTTGTAATAACTTTTATATTATATATACAATTACTCCACTACTTCGTCATAAAAATGTTTTTCTTTTAAATGAATAAATATTATTTAATATTTTATTTGTGATCATACGTGTATAATGTCAATTTTTCTTTAAGAAAAAATTGAATACATTAAAATGTATTAATATTATTTTCAAAATTACCGATTAGATTTGTGTTCAAAATATTTTAAAGTATCTAGAAGTGTTCAAAATAATAAAAAATTATTTTTATTTACGAACGCGTATATAAAGTGTCACGACATATAACTAATACGGTTTCTTTCTAGAAGTGTTTGTGCTTTATAGTCTCTAATTATTGAAACCTTCAATTCTTTTTCCCCTAGCACAATGGAGTTTTTGCAAAAGACACTCACTTATCAAAATTAAGTTATTTTATACAGTGTAAAACAATAAAATTATAATACTTTTAAAATAAAAAAAAATGTTTTTGTGCCAATATAGCCTTTCAGCCAAACAGTGCCTAAAACAGTTATAATATCAATAAGAACATAGAACATTTAAAAAAAAAAAAAAATTACTTTGTTCCATTTGTTTTTTAAAAAAAATTGTCCAAAAACGCCTTTAAGGCACTATTTGTGCCAGCCAAATAGTGCTTAACAGCTCTTTGGTTCAATTATGTTGAGGGAAAAAAAAAAAAAAAAAACAAAAAATCTAGTTTTTGGAATTTGTTTCCCAACCAAACAGGCCCTTAAACTGGTTTTTGGACTACAATGTTTCTGAGCTACAAAAGTTAAGAGACAAAAAAAAAAAATAGGGTAAATGGGCCCATGCGATACAAGCCCAAGATCTCTATATGAGTCTTCGTTTTCGGCTACCAAAGACGGTGTAGTCTTATGCTAGCAAATAAATTAAAAGGCAAATTGTGTCAAATAGTTATTTCTAATAAATCAAAAATATATATGATAAATATGGTTATATATATACGTGTGTGAAAAGATTACCATTTCGTCATTTCGCTATTTCTATCTATACATACGAAAAAGACAAAACAAGCTGAGAAATATAGCTTCTTCGGACAATATATATATATATAGCGGGCCCACACTAGTTCTATATAACAAACTGCTCTCTACTACAGAATTTAGTAACAAATAGCGAACGACTTGATTCTTTCACAAATTATAAACAGGCTTCTGGACAATAAGTGAATTTTAGTAAATCATCTATTTTTTTCTCTCGTAATACTCCGGTTTCTTTGCGTCGCTCTCTGACTCATTCTTTAGACTTGTAGCAGCAGGGTTTTTATAGTCGGTATCTTAGAGTACCGGCTATTTTAGGTCGGTCTAAAAGAGACGTGTTCCAGTTTCTTCTGACTAAAATTCAGGACAGGTTAGCTTTTTGGAAAGCGAAATCTCTGTCCACGGGTGGCAAGGAAGTGTTGATTAAAGTAGTGTTGAGTGCTTTGCCTACGTATGTTATGTCATCTTTTAGGTTACCTACTGCACTTTGTCACGATTTGATGAAGCATATTCGTTCTTTTTAGTGGTGTAATAAGGATAAGCCTCACGCAATCCATTGGCTCCACTGGGATCTTCTATGCCTGAGCAAGCCTTTGGGTGGTCTTGGCTTTCAGGATCTGGAAGCTTTTAATTCAACTCTTTTAGCAAAGCATGCTTGGCATTTTCAAGTTCAGAAGACCGGATTGCTTTATCAACTTTTTAAGGCCAAGTATTTTCCTTCTGCTTCGTTTTTGGATACTTCTTTGGGATCCAATCCTTCCTGGGGATGGCTTAGTATATGGTCTACTCAGGCTTTGTTATGCCAGGGGGTCTACTCATTGATTGGCAATGGTTCATCTACACATGTTTGGAAAGATCATTGGGTCCTTACGCTTCCGGATAAATTGCCACTTTCCTCGGATCCTCCTCTTTTTTCTTTTGTCTCCGAGTTGATTGATACTACTACCCCTTAGTGGAAGGTGGATGTTTTGTCTCACTTTTTTCCTCCTACTATAGTGCAGGAAATTCTCAAAGTTCACATTAGTAGATGGGATAAACAGGATGAGGTCATTTGGCGTCCAGAGAGGTCGGGTAGATTTTCTGTGAGGTCTGCTTATAAATTGGCCATCTCCATGTCTAATTTTGCAGGTGCTTCTCTTCTTCCTTGTCCGTGGTCTTCGATTTGGCGGTGTCGTACTCTATCTAAGGTGCAACGTTTTCTTTGGTGCTGTTGTCTGCATGCCGCACCGGTTCGGGTAGCTTTGCTGGACCGTGGGTGTGTGGTATCGCCTCTTTGTCCTCGTTGTGGCTTACAGGAGGAATCGATTGTGCATCTCATGTTTTCTTGCACTCACTCCCTTCAGGTGTGAAGTTATCCCCACTTCGTCTTAATTTCTCAGCTCATTCATTTCCTTCTTTCTAGGTTGCCTGGAAATTTTTGGTGCAGAAGACTATCCTATCTTCGGATTTTGCGGATGCTCTTAGTTTGATTTATTTTTGTGTTTGGAGTATTTGGAAAGCCAGGAATCGGTTGGTCTTTGAGGGATTTTTATGGCAACCTGAAGTTGTAGTTAAGAAGGCTGTGGCTAGTTTTTGGGAATTTTATGATGCTCGGTCCCTCCGTTTTTCCGTGCAGGATGATTCGGTTCTCAATTTGGTGGATTTGTGGTGTCTTCCTCCTTCTGGAATTGTTAAGTGCAATTTTGATTCTTCTTTTTATCGGCCCTCTCTACAGGGGGGTGGTGGAGCTGTTTTCCGTGATTTTCGAGAGGTAGTGCTTCAAGCAGTTATTTTTCGTCCCTTTTCTGCTTCTTCAGCTTTGGAGGCTGAGGCGTTGGTGTGTCAACGAGCTGTTTTATGCGCTATGCGTTTGGGTTTTTCTTGCTTATGGTCTGAGTCAGATGCTTTGGTGGTTGTGAATGGGGTAACGCATCGAGAGACGTGTCCTTTGGATATTGCTTCTATCTGTTTTGACATTTCTCGAGACCAGAGGGTTTTTTAGTCTACTATTTTGACTCATGTTTGTCGCCAGGGTAAGGGTGGCTCATGCGTTGGCAACTTTTTCACGGCCTGGGATATTGTCAGATCTGTTTTCCTCTTCTTTACCTCCTTCAGTCATTCTGTTGGTTGTTGCTGATGTCGTTTCGTAGTTTGGTTCTATTGTTTTGGTTTCTTCTGTGTTGTCTCTGCCCAAACCAAAAAACCAAAAAAAAAAAAAAAGGTCACGCACAGCATAAACACACTTTTTCTCTCGATTACTCGTATTATGTTTCTGCTTCCATATTTTCAAGCTTATTATAGATAATAGCAATGGTGAACTCAGGAATGGCTATCGCACCTACTATCTTCGACATATTCGATATGAACACGTATCATGAGTTCCTTTTTCTTTCTACATAAGCAATAGTGTTTAAATATATGTAATATTTGTATACATCACAAATGTTTTATAATGTAGATCTGGCTTTTAAATTCAGTTTTCACATCAAACCTCTATTTCTTAGTATATATATTATATATATGCTACGTAATCTGTGATTTATATGAATAAGATGAAGGGATCGTTCCTCGTACTTTTCTATATCCATCTCAAACCTCTTTCTCTCCTCTATATCTACACCATACCTATAAACTGTGATGACGATCTAATACGTGCTTTTTATTTACAGCATGATTGTTGAATGACCAACTCTAAAATGGTCGGACCAAGTATCATTATCCTAATATTATATAGTATCACCAGCACTCACAAGTTGCATAATTGTCATAAGACTATTCTAGATGTACCAGTTTCTTTTAGACCATTCTTTATGTAACAAGTTGTAAAATTGTCATCAGGCTATTCTAAATATACGAGTTTCTTTTGGACCATTCTAAATGTAGTAAGTTCTTTGGACTCCAATTTGGTCCTTTTGTTCATAGGCTAATATATATATATATACACACACATGTAAATATTCATTATCTATACGTACCATTTATTATAATTGATCTTGTGGACTAATATATATATATATATTCATGTAAATATTCACTATCTATATATACTACTTATTTTAATTGATCTTCTGCCAATTAATCACTAGATACCCCATATGTTATAACTACATAAAATTACAAAATCATCCCTGTTGAAAGCCTCAAGCCTAGATTAATATTCTTTACATAACATGCACAAACCTGGAAAATTAATATAGTTATGTTTAATTTAGTAATTTGTCACAGATTTTTAAAAGATATATAGCGACTGAAATTGAAATTGAAAACACTAATATTATTTGTTTGTGATTTTTTAAAACTCCAAAATCACAAGTGTTTTAAATAAAATAAAAGACTTTATAATAAAGAGCTAAAATCCTTAAAAAGGACACACTATTGTATTTTTCCGTAATTAAAGTAACAAGTTGTAGTCAGTGTTTTATTATTATTATTTTTTACCATACGGAAGGATTTAGTAATTATGAATAAAGAGAAAAGAGAGAAAAAAAAAACATATAAATTTTTTGCATGAAGAAATATCCTTATCCTTAATAATTCTTAATAAAGAAGAATATAATTTTATAGCATATGTAATGTGCAATAGTTTCGTCAAAAGAAGAATAGAAAGTTTTAGACACAATCAAACCAAATTAAACTATGAAAATCCACCCGTAAGCATGCCGAACTCTGACTGCAACACACAAAAACACAATTCCCCAAATAAAGGAAATGGTTAATAATGTCAAATTCACCACAAGCAAGAGGATGTTTTGGGAGGTTGACGTATAAGAGGGAATGTTGTTTTATCTTCATGTCGTCACTAAAATCACTGCAGGAAATTATAAGGTCTTTTATTTTATTTATAATCAGCCCTTATTATAAGGTCTTTTATTTTATTTAAAACACTTGAGTGGTTTTGGAGTTTTAAAAAACCACAAACAAATAATATTAAAAGACGCTTATATTGTTCCCTGCACACCAGGGAGTAAACTGAACAGGACTGTATATCTATATATAAAAGAAAATCTGTAAAAGTGAACTGAACACATCATTGGCATTTTAGCTCCATCTTTGCATGGCTCACCAAACTACTCCATCTTTGCATGATTCACCAACTGAAATCCTTCGTAACTGAAATCTTTATATACAAGTGCATATATAATGTGCACGTTTCTTTGTCATATGATATATCTCTACTGCGCCCCATATCTAATGCAAGACTTTTATTTCATTCATTCATTTCAGTTCAATTGTTCGTAGAGAAAATTATATATATATATATATATATATATATATATATGGAGAGATGTCAAAATAAAAAAGTGGGTGCGGAGTGCTTGAGGAGGAAATTATGCCATGGTTGGTCTGCTTCTCACCTTCTACAAACGCATGGAGATCAACATTTCTCCAATGGGAGTGGAGTGCTTGAGGAGGAAATTATGGGTATGTGAGAAGGTGCCCGGGACGGGCTCCGGCGAACGTGGCTATCGCCATCACAAGGCTCAGGAGCAAGGCAGCGTTCCCCCGGAAGCTCAGAGACGATGAGTTCAAGCACATACATACTGGGATCCTGACTAGTTCGGACACATGCTGGCGGGATCTTGAAGGAGAACAACGTCAACGGCAGACACTTCGACAAGGGGCTCAAACTCTGCAAAATCACAACACACAACTCCAAATTCTCATACCCATTTCTAATGACATTTACACAATCACCCAATTCTTAGACCTACAATCACCCAATTCTCATACCCTTTTCTAATGACATTTACACAACTACCCAATTCTTAGGCCTTTAGCCCTCCTTAAAGATAGATGAGCAAAAGCCCAAATATGCTTTTTTAAGGATTCTGTTGGTGAAAATTATGGCGGATTGAATGTAATTGCTTGATTTTTTTTATTATTATTATTATTTTAAAATGAATTATTTGATTAAACTCTCTCTAGCCTACATGGTCTTCTGTGATCCGATTTGGGTCTGGTGAGGTGAGAAGAAATTAGAGAGAGAATCTAGGAGGGAGGAAAATTTACATCCCATCCAAAAACCATTGGCATGGTGAGACTTCTCAAAACTCAATGACTTGGGAGTATACATTAGGTATGCCAAATTTTGTTTTAACCATTCACAACAATACCACAATCAATTTCCACATGTTAAAGAAATATTCTAGGTTCCAATATAAAAGACAAAATTAATAGAATTTAAAAAAAAAAAAATCTTTGCAATGTCAAGCCTACGACAATAGACATTTTCTTCCAAAACTTCCCAGCTAATTCAATTCTGAAGTAAATTATATTCCCGTTATATTTAAAGCATAAAACTACTGCTTATCTACAATCTGAAAGTAAATTGATGTTCAGATAATAAATGCAAGATATAGTGGAAAGCTAGTGTTCATCACTGAAAGGAAGTAAATAAGTCAAGAAATGCAAAGAATAGTATCCTAATTGAGCATAAACTAAAGGGAACAATAGCAAATGTGGGGACAGAAAATGTTTCTCAATAAGTCCCTCACGCTGCAACATTCTTCGACGACCAACTCTCATTATAAAATACAAAACTGAAACTCATTTACCTATTTTCAGTCGAAGCCAAGCGATCAAGTAAGTCATTTAATTCCTTGATTGCTAGTCCACCAGAAGTCATCCCCTGCCAGCGTTGCAGCACCTGCTGCACAAATAAAAGAAAATTAGATATCGCAAAGGCATCATCGCTTGGTGCATTGATAACTGTTTGAACTGTCAAGTGGGAGAAAGAGTAGCCACTTTGTGCAAATAATGTCAAATGTTAAGTTTATATCCGGTATATCCCTCCCAACACCCTTGATTAAGACCACCACTAGGTGTCATGCGTAAAGCAACAACGTTCAATGATGTCTATGTTTGAAACATGATATCAGATCATGTCATCCAACTTAAAGCCCAACAGGTGAATGTTTGTAACTTACCAAGCCATTTCATGTTGTTCTATGTATAGTTCCCATAAAACAACATTCCAAAAAAATTATAACACTTAATCGGTAATTTGAATTTCAAATACAAGACGTCAACTCAAGACTCTCAAACATAGCATTAGAAAAGTGACTCGGGGGAAGAAACAGCACACACCTACATAAACATGATTTTGAAACCATAATTCCATCGATGCTTATTAATGGAGGGACAATTACAAAACCAAACCATTGCAACCTTTAGAATCAACAAACTAATGCTTCAGTTGAAAAAATTCAAAGCTTCATTGAATTCGTCAATATTACCCATATACGCATTAGATGATAAAATGTAAGTGCGGATGCAACCTCTATCTCAGAGTTTATTATATGTGTGTGTGTGTATATGAACCCTCCTTGTTTATTTTATTTTTGAATGGAGAGTTTCGGCCTCTTCCAAATTTTTTAGCGTAAACCCTCTGAGGCATGCTCTGATGCGCCGCCCCAGTTTCATTTAATATATATATATAACTCGTGTAAATATTCAATATACTTATTATAATTGATCTTAATGGTGCCCTGCATGCAATTAACCACCAGGTCGCCCATATCTTATAAACTCATAACTACATAAAATTACAAAATCATCCCGGTTGAAAGCCAAGTCTAGATGAATATTCTTTACCTAACATGCATAAACCTGGAAAATTAATATAGTTATGTTTTAATTCAGTAATTTGTCACAGATTTTCAACCTAGAAAAACAGATATATATATATATGAATGTATATATATATATATATATATATATTTAAGAAAATCTGTAAAAATGAACTGAACACATCGTTGGCATTTTAGCTCCATCTTTGCAGGGCTCACCAAACTCCTCCATCTTTGCATGATTCACCAACTGAAATGCTTCGTAACTGAAATCTTTATATATAAGTGCATATATAATGTGCACTTTTCTTTGTCATATGATATATCTCTACTGCGCGCCATATCTAATTCAGGACTTTTGTTCATTCATTCATTTCAGTTCAATTGTTCATAGAGAAAACTTTATAAATATATATATATATATATATATATATATATATACACACACACACATATATGTATATAATATATAGGGAGAGATGTCAAAATAAAGTTGTGGGTGTGGAGTAATTGAGGAGGAAATTATGCCATGATTGGTCTTCTTCTCACCTTCTACAAACGCATGGAGATCATTTCTCCAATGGGTGTGGAGTGCTTGAGGAGGAAATTATGGGTGTGAGAAGGTGCCCAGCGGAGCTCCGGCAAATGTGGCTATCGCCGTCACAAGGCTCGGGGAGCAAGGCAGCATTCCCCCAGAAGCTCAGAGACAATGAGTTCAAGCACATACATACTGGGATCTTGACGAGTTCGGATACATGCTGGTGGGATCTTGAAGGAGAACAGCATCAACAGCATACTGTTCGGGCTCAAACTCTGCAAAATCACAAAACAAAACTCCGAATTCTCATACCCATTTCTAATGATATTTACACAATCACTCAACTCTTAGACCTACAATCACCCAATTCTCATACCCTTTTCTAATGACATTTACACAACTACCCAATTCTTGGGCCTTTAGCCCTCCTTAAAGATAGATGTAGCAAAAGCCCAAATATGTCTTCTTTAAGGATTCTGTTAGTGAAAATTGTGGCTGATTGAATGTAATTGCTTGATTTTTTTTATTTATTTATTTTTTAATGAATTCTTTGATTAAACTCTCTCTAGCCTACATGGTCTTCTGTGATCCGATTTGGGTCTGGTGAGGTGAGAAGAAATTAGAGAGAGAATCTAGGAGGGAGGAAAATTTACATCCCATCCAAAAACCATTGGCATGGTGAGACTTCTCAAAAACTCAATGACTTGGGAGTATACATTAGGTATGCCAAATTTTGTTTTAACCATCACAACAATACCACAATCAATTTCCACATTTTTGAGAATTTTTCTAGGTCCCAATATAAAAGACAAAAATTAATAGAACTTAGAAAGAAAAAAAAAAAATTGCAATGTCAAGCCTACAACAATAGACAATGTCTTCCAAAACTTCCCAGCTAATTCAATTCTGAAGTAAATTATATTCCCGTTATATTTAAAGCAGAAAACCACTGCTTATCTACAATCTGAAAGTAAATTGATGTTCAGATAATAAATGCAAGATATAGTGGAAAGCTACTGTTCATCACTGAAAGGAAGTAAATAAGTCCAGAAATGAAAAAAACAGTATCCTAATTGAGCAGAAACTAAAGGGAACTATAGCAAATGTGGGGACAGAAAATGTTTCTCATTATAAAATATTCTGCAGCAACCAACTCTCATTATAAAATACCAAACTGAAACTCATTTACCTATTTTCAGTCGAAGCCAAGCAATCAAGCAAGTCAATTAATTCCTTGATTGTTAGTCCACCAGAAGTCATCCCCTGCCTGCGTTGCAGCACCTGGTGCACAAATAAAAGAATATGAATTATTGCAAAGGCATCATGGCTTGGTGCATTGATAAATGTTTGAACTGTCAAGTGGAAGAAAGAGTAGCCACTTTGTGCAAAAAATGTCAAATGTTAAGTTTATATCCGGTATATCCCTCCCAACACCCTTGATTAAGACCACCACTAGGTGTCATGCGTAAAGCAACAATGTTCAATGATGTCTATGTTTGAAACATGATATCAGATCATGTCATCCAACTTAAAGCCCACCAGGTGAATGTTTGTAACATACCAAGCCATTTCATGTTGTTCTATGTATAGTTCCCATAGACCAACATTCCAAAAAAATTATAGCAGTTGAGCATCCAAAAAACAGTAGGACTTTAATCCTTCAAACTCCAAAGTCCAAACTGGCCCTTAAGAGCTCTTCTATAAAGCAAGCATGTCTCATTCAGTAACCCATAACATGATCATAAAGCCTTTGTAATAAAAATTAGCGTAAAAGCCTGATTAGGGATGATAACTACATCCTCAAACTTGCTCATAAACAAAAGCACGCGAGTTTCACTGATTAGCCAGCTTTTTACGATAAATCAGTAAATTAAAATGATGTAGACAGGTATTCAGGCCTCTTCAAATCAAGATAAACCATTATTCCCGTCTAATTTGATTTTAAAATGCCTATAACAAAACTAATTATGCGCTAAACACCAATATGGGTAGGATATGGCATATTAAGAAGCTCGTAAAGGCTCAAAGAAGATTATGGCTGAAGCAAATCTTTTTCTTTTTTTTTCCATTTTTGTGACCGTTCTTGGGATTGGGGAGTGTGTTAATGAAGTAATTGAACATCACATCAAAATAAAATTATTTATGCATGGTTCAAATCTCAGTAGAGTGACATGGTTTTATCTGGTTCATGAACAGGAGGGCAAAACGAAAAGAAATGAACATCAATGTCGAGCAGTCAGAAAGAGGAATAAACATCAATGCCCAGTAGTGAGATGAGGCGCAAAACATGCAGATAGATGTATAAAATTTCATTATCTTCTACACGATCGATGGAGAAGCCATCATCAAAATGGGGCTCGACTATTCCATACCATACTGCTTCCTTGTGTATATATATACTCATAAATGATATTTGACAGATGGTAACCGTTATTCTTGGATGCATGCTTGGAGATAAAAATTATTGGAGAGGATCCAGTGCCATTTGTAATTTTTGTCTCCAAACATCTCCAAAGATGCATCCAAGGGTTAAAAATATGCCACACCATCATTTATTTCTTTTCTTTTTTTCCTTTACCTTTTTTTTTTTAAAAAAAAAAAAATTGAATTCTGGATGAAAGTACATCATGTGCTTAATTGAACAAGTATGAAATCAGATTTTTTTGAAAACCTGAAATTACTCTTTGGAATGACATAAAAGCCCCTCCCAATTTCCTATATATTTTAACACAAAATGCCTTGTTTGGATGGGATGTAAATTCATTAAAGAGGTAGTAAACAATTAAGTATGACATACAGTTTCTACAGCACAACTTGAATAGGATTAAAGAAGGATGAAGCCATGTAAACTAAAAACGAAACCCAGCAATAATAAGATTATACACCATAGGAACAAAAGATGATCGTCGATATTTTTAATCAAATATTGCACAAAATGAACCAGATCAGCTGACCAAGAATCACATACTTATTCAATAATCAATAAATGTATGCACGCAAATATGAATGTACTGTATGCATGAGTGTGAGTAGTTTGCTTGAAAAGTATGTGGACAAAAAATTGCTCATTAACAATCAGGTACCTCACAGTTTGCATCACAATAAAGACATCAAGAGTTTTACCATCCTCTTTAAGCATCTCCAAAAGTGTTTCCATTGCTTATCCCCTATCACAATGAACAAAATCAGAAGTAACACGGAATTGGTGGCAAAGAACTATTAAATGATAACAATTAATTACATGATTGTTCACATTATGACTGACTAAACTTGAAAAATGGGGGCAGAATATAATGTATTTATTTGTTTTTGGATAAGTAGGGCATAATATTAAATTTATATCTGAGGAAGTTCCATTTACATTCTCAAAGGTTCAAGCCACGATCATTTCGCTCCTTCAAAATTTATTAGATGTAGTTCCTCACATCCATTTGGTTCATGAATATATAGTGCTATTTTGAGAAAGGTACAGCAGCAATGATCATGCAGAGTTTCCTTTTGAGGACAACAATTAGTTTGCTCAAAGGCATTAGGAAGCTCATCCTAAAGTCAAACTAGGCAGAAAATAAGGAGTTAAAAGTATGATGGACTATAGTTTTTTCCACCCATATCTGATCAAACTGAGTCATGCAGCCACCCGTTCTCCACGGAACAGGAATGCATCCTTCCTTTCAACAATTTAGTTTCAAGTTGATTGTGTTCCTTCACTAGGCCAGACCCCATGTTGGGAGCACCTACTCCTATGTCAGGTGCTATAATGCCCCAAGTCATAGTTTCTTAGTTTTGCATATGCTTCCATGTAAACAAAACAGAAAAAGCAAAGATCAAAACAGGGTATGCAGGAGAAACGCAAAAAGGAATCAGTAAATTATTGATATAGCTTGCTGATGTTGGGGTTCTCAATCAATCTCGACACATGGTAACAGTAAAATCACTGAAGAGCCCAAGAGGGGGTGCACCCATTTATACAACTTTTTTCTTGCAAATGCATGTGGATGTCACTGTTCAACTCAACAGGAAGAAAAATGCTCTTAACTAAACAAATACTTTGACACCTAAAAATAATAAAAAAATCATGCTAACAGCGCTAATAAAGTAAACAGGAAACTTGCCCTGTTAACCATATAAATTAAGGTTAATCTCATAACAGACTCACTATATAACAGAAATTTTTTCTTATACGAGCAGAATATATTTATGGTCACATTGACAGCAAGAAGAATTTTATACGAATTCTCATTTGAAAAGCATAAAATTTAATATTTGAGAAGATACCTCTACATTCCAAAGGTCAGCACATGCATGAATTGCAACGCGATATACTGTTAACTCTTTACTCAGGAATCCGCCATGCTTTGTCTCTCGATGCTTCAACTGATGACCACCCCTTGGACCTGCTCAACAAGCTCGGTTATCTTTTTCAGGAAAAAGTAAATCAGAAATAATTTAGAAACTTACAGAATAAAAATTTAACAAAAACATTTAAATACTTGAAACTTACTTTGTTCACCGAATCATTCTTATGTGCACTTATATGCCCCACGTAGCAGAACTAGTTTAAACCAAGACCAGCAGCAGTCATATCATGAACATTAGCATACCTAAATGTTGAAGGTAGGTTATTTTATTATTCAATCTATTTTAGTATAATAATGAACATAGACAGGTTAAAAGTCAAACTATAGAACGATATCAAGAAGTTATATAAAGCAACCTATAAAGTAGATAAGTAATGGTTCACTTCACAGTCACAAAGACTTGCTAAAGCAGGTAATTCAAATAAAAATGAGTAACTTACAGACCCAGCTGTGTGACATTAATTGAAGATAGAGATGACCAATTTAAAACAACAGTAATGATTAAAGAATGGATTATTTTATCGGTGCACTAGACTACATTTGAGATCAAGAGTTTGGATTTCTTTCCCACATTAGAGGTAAATTTAGATAATCGATTCTCTTGAATTGCACGGAGCATGCTTTTACAAAGGAATGGGAGATTCATAATCACCAAAACTTGGATTTGCATTCCTCTCATTTTTCTCGGTTTTTCTCTTTTTTGGGTTGGGATAAATGTTAAGAACAATTACCATGAAAAATAGCTCATAATACCCAATTAAATATGATTCTGCTCCCAAAATGCAATTTTATATTCAAACAAAACTAACCTGAAATTAGTAAGACCACTACACGTGAATTTCTAGTATCTAAGTTAAGGGAAAGACCAAAATTAATATGGGCTGACATAGTAAAGAAACAAATGCTAGTTTGGTCACACAAAAATTAAGACCTTAGACAAAGCAGGATCATGTTTCCAAATCATACACAGCCCGCTATAAATAATGCCTGCAAAAGACACAGAAGCATATATATATATACAAACACATGTAGATTAATATGAATTTATACATACACACAGACACAGACACACATATACATACACACAATGTAGATGAATAAATTTATATATATATATATATATATATATATATATATATATATATATGAGTAGTATTGAGAAAATGGAGAGACATTCGAAGTGAGGGAGGTAATGACGGTGTTGTACTCTGAATCATTGTTAGCGTCATGGTTCTTGTATCGACGTCCTAGGGCTCGAACAAGTGATCGGTAGAATCTTCCTGAACAGTGAGAAATAAAAAAGGGAAAACAAGATCACATAGTGATGATAGAGGGTTTCTTTGGAGAGAGAAAGCACACACTCTCTCTCTCTAGATGCCATACCAGATAGTAGGAATCGAACCCTTCGACATGAATGGTCTTCATTCCAGTTCTTCGGACTGCGCATAAACCCTGGGTTTGGGATATGAGAAGATGGACACTTGGCTCGCGCAAGGGGAAGGGGTTTGAAAACTTTGTGCACCGTTAGTTGGGATCATATATGTCAAATTTCTAGGATTTTTTATTTTTTATTTTATTTTTATCCAATTTCTACGATAATTCTATATCAGGTTTTTGGCTTGATAATTTTAAATGTCTTGTTGATAATTGGTTGAACAAAGGTCGTATATTAGTAATAGAATATATAAATATATTGAATTAAAATATTCAATTGAAATAGAATATTGATGTTGTGATATTTATTATTGTAATTAAATTACTTTTTAGGAACAATTACCAAGTACCGAGTAAAATTTTGTTACAAATTCAAATTTTGAATTCATGGTTTGACAATATGCATTTTGAAGTTGTTTCTACAAGTTATGTAAGAATTTTAAGAAGAAAAGAAAAAAAAGTAGTTTGGTAATGTTCTTATTCAAAAATAAATAAATAGAAGTCGACAAAATTATTCTAGAATTAGAACAATCAAACTAAATCCAATTTTGTATAAAGTTTATTTAGTTTGGTCTCAATGACACAAGTTGGATTAGTTTATTCCCGATGAGCTTATCCATAAGCAATAATAGTATTAATTAAGTGCCTCAGATTGCATTATTGAGTTTTATTGTCACAATCTGTCTTTATAGATAATGAGAAATGTTTTAACGGGTGCATTTTTCTTTACCTGATAGGATATAATTGATTTATAATACTATAACGGGATATCACTCATGTAGGAGAATATATTTGGATAATTTTGTAGATGTGTTTTGAAAAAAATTATGAGGTTAAGAGGAGAATGTCAAAAGAAGACAATATTTACATGTTGCGAGGTAAATCTTAGCAAATGAATTAATTAATTAATATATTTATTTATATATAGTAGAAATCTGTTTTAGATTGTGAATAAATTTATGCCCTCTTTTAATGGTATAGAATTAGTGTTTTGAAATTGGAATTGAAAAAAATAATAATAATTTAATTTAAAATTTGAGCTCATTTTTTTCCAATTTTAATTTCGCAAAATTATCATAATACAATAAGGCCATTATCTCATCTCATCTCCATTTAAGAGAGGAGTCCGACAGCTCGGACTTGGTGTACTAATTAAATAATCTTATACTGAATTAATTGTGCAAGCTAGTGAATTGACTTCCATTTCAATTAACATTTTGGAGAATTCATACTTACATATATTAACACCAAAAAAAAATTACATTTAATAAGCCTTCAAGGCAAATAAGTTACAACTTAGGACCGTATATTTGATTCCATGTAAAATAGGTATATAATAAACTAACAATCACCCAAATCACAAATGCCTAGAGGTCTAATTTGAGGATCTAGTATCAAATTTCATCTATATATATATATATATATATATATATATATATATATATTCTTTGATAATTGAATTGATTAGGGAGGGAGCTCATCAAACAGGTAAAGTGACAAGAGTTGATGGGCCATTCTAAATGTGCCAATTTCTTTTGGGTCAGTCTATATGCAACAAGTTGATTGGGCCTCCCACTGCTAACCTAGATAGGTTTAATATAAGCCTCTTGTTGAGCTCCTTTTTGTTGCCTTTATGGTCAGTGGGCCTATACCCATGTAAATATTCATCATCCATACCATACTTATTATGGCATGCTTCTGTTCTCTAATTTAAATAAAATAATTGACATTAATGGTGTAAAAATGAGGTCAGCCAATTATCATTCAGTTGTTATAACTACATAAAATTACAAAATCATCGTTGTTAAAAGCTGAAGTCTACATTAATAAAATTACAAAAGCATCCCCGTGTATTTAATATTGACCACACCTAATTTGTTACAGATTTTAAACTTAATAAAAAAAATGTAAAAAAAATCAAGTATTGTAAGAAACTCCCTGAATTACAAAAAAAAACTTCCCTAAATTATGAATTTGTTACAGTTTACCCATTAGCTTATCGGAAAAATAAAAAACTATTTTACCCTTGTTATAAAACGACACAGTTTCGCCCAACACCCTACTCTCCCTTTACAACCAACCATAAACACTTACAAGGCCCAGAGAAAAACAAAACAGAAATCAAGGGCGACGGTGAAGGGGGTTGAGGTAGGAGGAGGAGATGGATCTAGTCGAGGTGGTGGTGCTGTTGTGGCGGCGGCGGCGAAGTAGGTTGAGGTGGAAGGAGGAGATGGATCTAGTAGAGGTGGTAGTGTTGTTGTGGCAGCGGCTGTGAAGGGGGTTGAGGTAAGAGGTGGAAATGGATCTAGCGCAGGGGGGTGGTGTTGTTGTGGCAACGGCGGCGAAGGGGGTTGAGGTGGGAGGCGGAGATGGATGTAGTGGAGGTGGTGGTGTTGTTGTGGCGGTGGCGAAGGGGGTTGAGGTTGGAGGAGGAGATGAATTTAGTATAGGTGGTGCTGTTATGGTGGCGGCGATGGGGGTTAAGGCCAAAGGAGGAGATGGATCGCCATGGACGGTGACGATACTAGAGTCACTATATCCAATGAGATTATTAACGCCGTGAGAAAAACAAAATAGTCTTTTCTTATTAACCCCGTGAGAAAAAACGAAATTTATAAAAAATTTCACGTGAGATTTTCTTATGTTTATAAGTAGAATCAACCACTACCTCATTAACACGTTGATTCAACTTTAAGGGAGGGATTTATTTATAAAAATTCTACTCGGTAGTGCGCTAATAAAATATCTAATTTTAAAAATTTTCTACAAATATCTATATATATTTATAAAATTCTTTACATTTAGAATATTTCAAAATCTATTAATTTATATAAACCCTCTAATATTCTAAGAAAGTCGAAGAATCTAAAACATAACTTTGTTTATACTATAAAAAAATAATAATAATAAATAAATAAATTGGTGTTATAATGGAATGTCACATATTTAGAGAAATTGTTATATAGTACCGGCTTATCACCATTTGACGCTCGAAAAAAAAAAAAAATCTTAGAGAAATTATTATATTTTCCTAGAACTATAAATCTTAACCAATTTTCATATGACACATTAATAAAAAAAATTGATCACAACTTAAAGACACATTTATTGACGTGTCACGTGATAATTACCCGAAACCAATAATCCGAACCATGTAATAATTTTTCATAAAAATACTAAGCTTAACTAATAGGGTTAAATGCTCTGCCTTTTGAGTTTGCCTTTACTGCTCTCCCAAAAAAATATATATATATAAAAAATAAAAATAAAAACCCTTCCTTTAGATTTGGTTAATTTTGACTTTTCACCCCCTCCCCTTAATTGATCTTGAAAAGTCAAAAGTCAAAATTTGGCTGGTCTCCTCGGCCAGCCTATCACCACTCAGTCCATTTGTTTAATCCTTATGAATTGGGCTTTTCGAAATGGATCCCACGGACCCACTTTAGGAGGTGGACAGGTACTCATTAATTTCCATTCCGTGAGCACTCAACAATGTACTGTATTTGTTTCCACCGATTGTAACTTATAAGAAATGACAGTAACCCTTTGTTTTACTATTAAAAAAGTTATCATTTGATTCGGGGTTATTGTTTCCGTCCAATCAGAAAGTAACGCATAAAATATATATATATATATATATATATATATGTAATAATTTCTCATGCCAATGATCATGCCCGGCCAATTAATTTTGTCATATTTTCATTGGCCAGTCATTAGTATGCTCGTTTGGCTCAGTTCCTCCATTGAGCTAGAAAAAAATAAAAAAAATAAACAACAATACAGCGCAACAAGTATGTGTGTGTGTGTGATTTGAGAAAATATATACAGATATCATGGAGATTCAACGAAAGACTTTATTAAGTGAACACTCTCTAAATACTAGGTACTAATTTATTCTCTCTTGACATACATCAAATTCTAAATATATATATTTTTATATGGTACAGTGTATTACAAGAGTGTTATATACGATGTCACATTAAGAATAATGACATTTATTAAAGAAAAATCGTTCTTACTAGACGTTTTGTAATAAAGCTGAGCACAATTTTGAATACCTAAACACACCCGCAAACTACAAAAAAATTTAAAAATTCCTTATGTGTTGGAGTGGTGATATTTGGATGGAAGAGCTCGACAATAATCTTTGACCGAATCCATTTAATTAGTTATAAATATAAAATATAAGAAAGTTGAGAATCACACTTTTTTATATTTGACATGCAGTGATTAATTAAAAGTTGAATTTTTTTGTCCAAACTCCTCAACTTAAAAATCATTTTACTATGTGTTATAAGCAGAAATATTTGCCTAACAAAGCAGCCCACCATAACTCACTTCGTTTAAGATGAATTAAATATCAAAGAGAAGGACATGGACGTGGACACTGGACCATGTTTTGCATACTGGATAAGCTTAGCTGAGAGATCATGGTTTGACAGTATGCATTTTGAAGTTGTTTCTACAAGTTATGTAAGAATTTTAAGAAGAAAAGAAAAAAGTAGCTTGGTATTGTTCTTATTCAATAATAAATAAATAAAAGTTAACAAAATTATTATAGAATTAGAACAACCAAACTTAATTCAATTTTGTACAAAGTTTATTTAGTTTGGTCCCAATGACACAAGTTGGATTAGTTTTGTTCCCAATGACCTTATCCGTAAACAATAATATTAATTAAGTGCCTCAGATTGCATTGTCGAGTTTTATTGTTACAACTTGTCTGTATAGTTAATGAGAAATGTTTTAATGGATGCATTTTTCTTTACATGACAAGACATAATTGATTTATAATACTATAACGTGATATCACTCGTGTAGGAAAATCTATTTCATAGATGACATCCACATTTGGATAATTTTGTAAATGCGTTTTGAAAGAAATCATGAAGCCAAGAAGAGCGTGTGAAAATGAAACAATATTTACACGTTACGAGGTAAGTCTTAACAAATGAACTAATTAATTAGTATATTTATTTATGTATAGTAGAAATCTTTTTTAGACTGTGAATAAATTTGTGCTCTCTTTCAGTTGTATAGAATGGTGCTTTGAAATTGGAATTGAAAAAAAAAAAAAATTAATTTAAAGTTTGAACTCATTTTTCGCCGATTTTAATTCCACAAAAATGTCATAATCCAATAAGGCCATCATCTCATCTCATCTCCATTTAAGAGACGAGTCCCACAATTCCGACTTGGTGCACTGATTAAATA